TATTGACTTCTGACCCCCAGCATTGACTTCTGACCCCTAGAATTGACTTCTAACCCCCCAGCATTGACTTCTAACCCCCAGCATTGACCTCTGACCTTTGTGCTGACCTCTGGCCTCTACAATGTTATCATTTATAGTTGATACAGCATGGACACTCGCCGCCCGCACTGACCTCTAACCCGGCAAGGATAGCGGAAGAGTTTCCTCAGTGGTTGGAGCGTGTGTCGTCGAAGCTTCCAGGAGGAATCATCCTAGTCATAGATTCACTTCACATGTTCCAGGTGAGCTGCCTGTAATGTGCACATGGCGCCATCTGTATGTCATTAAATTAGGTAATGTCTTCGCATCTAAATATAGTTTAATTATGTAACGTCTTTGTATGTAACTCGTTTAATCGAATACTGTCATCACATATAACTATCATTTTCATTAGGCGATGTCATCACATCTAAGCATTGTTTAATTAATTAATGTCTTGCCATCTTACCATCGTTTAACTATGTAATGTCTTTGTATGTAACTATCGTTAAATCGAATACTGTCATCACATATAACTATCATTTTCATTAAGCGATGTCATCACATCTAAGCATTGTTTAATTAATTAATGTCTTCTCATCTTACCATCGTTTAATTATGTAACGTCTTTGCCCCCACAGAATGCAGAGATGCACATGAAGTGGTTGCTGGACCCTCTCCCCGTCGACACTCGCATCGTTGCCACCGTAGATGGCGACACGTGTCCCCTCGCGTGGCGAGCCTGGCCCAGCGTGCGGCTCGACCCTCTCAGTAACCGCTGTGTGAGGGAGGTACTGAGGGCGGCGGGGGAGGCGGGTCTCTCCCTCACCATGGACCAGGAGGAGAAGATACTGACGCGGTGAGTGGTGGCAGCAACGATGCGTGCGTGCGTGCGTGCGTGCGTGCGTGCGTGCGTGCGTGCGTGCGTGCGTGCGTGCGTGCGTGAGGGAGACAGCAAGACTAAATTATCTGATTTAACTTGTGACAATGTGTTTACACAGGTGTCGTACGTACGACCCTCACCTGTAACACGTGACGATGTGTTTATGCAGGTGTCGTACGACCCTCACCTGTAACACGTGACGATGTGTTTATGCAGGTGTCGTACGACCCTCACCTGTAACACGTGACGATGTGTTTACAGTGTTACAGGTGAGGGTCGTACGACACCTGCCCTCACCTGTAACACGTGACGATGTGTTTACACAGGTGTCGCACGACCCTCACCTGTAACTCGCTCTACGTGACGATGTGTTTACGCAGATGTCGTACGACCCTCACCTGTAACTCGCTCTACGTGACGATGTGTTTAGACAGGTGTCGTACGACCCTCACCTGTAACACGTGACGATGTGTTTACACAGGTGTCGTACGACCCTCACCTGTAACACGTGACGATGTGTTTACACAGGTGTCGTACGACCCTCACCTGTAACACGTGACGATGTGTTTACGCAGGTGTCGTACGGCCCTCACCTGTAACACGTGACAATGTGTTTACGCAGGTGTCGTACGACCCTCACCTGTAACACGACCCTCACCTGTAACATGTGACGATGTATTTATACAGGTGTCATACGACCCTCACCTGTAACACGTGACGATGTGTTTAC